ATGATTCGTCTTTACCCCAAGAGAAGACAAAACATGTTCGTCTTTACCCTAAGAGAAGACAAAATAGGGTTCATCTTTACTCTAAGAGAAGACCTCAAGAGAAGACAAAATATGGTTCATCTTTGCCCCAAGAGAAGACAAAATGTGTTCGTCTTTGCCTCAAGAGAAGACTAAATTCCAAAAATCTATACGTGTAACCAGTCCACATGTGTAGCCAGTTGTTATTATCAACTTAATAACAACTAAATCTATGCCTCTCTGGCATAGGGGACTTTATCTTGATCCCTAATTAGATACAAGTCTGCATTTAACACATCGTGTTGGGTGGTATATTCCCGTGAAAACGATAAAGCCTACGTATTCAATATCGTAGAACTAAGTCTAAAAGAGTGTATTCTTTTAGCAAAACGTTACATATAGAACAGACTTAGACAATCTACATGCTAGCCCGACTCAAAAGATAGTAACGCTCATCAAATCTGTTGATGGCTGAGGATTTATCAAAAATCCTATAATAAGCAGCTCGCGGTGACAAATTCGCTCTCAACTTTTATGGAGTCTGCGGTAGTAGTCAAGACCTTGGTAACCTCCTCCTTCATAACATTGCTTTAATAGTCACTGACACACTAGCTTCATCAGTTGGTCTCGTGACTCGAGTACCTGGGGTAGCTTCAGAAATAGTAGCTGTATTAGCACCAACGGCTGGTCCTACAATCAAATCTCACACAAAGAGCTCAACCTGGCGAGCCTCCGATGCATTCTTAGCTTACTCTTCCCAAACTCCAAAAAGTATATGAGTATAAACTGCTCCTTCATACTCCAACGCCTTAAGAGCTTAAACTATGTAGACTCCAGCTACGTATGAGTACAAACTATGTTTACTCCGCAGCGAAAGTCAACGCCCGACAATTTTTTCCAAAATCAGGCTAAGGATAATTCTATTTCCCGCACACAGAGTTCAAATGCAATTCAGATATAAACTACCGACAAAGATGATCAGCTCAACGTCGACTCAACGACATAAGCTAATTCAAGTATCAACACACCAGTTCCACTTTAAGATTTCGACAATGGTTAGACGATAAACGCAATACCGGAAGAATTTCAGACTATTCGACAAAACACGAAATAGACTAAAAGCTAAAGAAGTCATAGAATTGAATGCTAGGCCTATCATATCCAAAGTATTCCAGGCTCTTCTATAAAAAATAAGACTAAAATACTTTGGAAGAGGTATCTGTAGGTGTCAAAAATTACCTATAGGTTCCCACACACAGCTCGAGACGAAGAGAAGATGATGAATGCCATTATCAGAGTCTAAAGAGGATCATCCGATGCCGTGAAGAAGCAAAGCGAGTTGACGAAGCGTACGAAACACGCGAAACAGCGAAACAACGAAGAAACGACATAGCCAACACTGTGTTTCTCACCCAGAGTGCGAAACACTCAAGAGTGTTTCTTACCATGTGTGAAACACGCAAGAGTGTTTTGCACTATGTGTGAAACACACCTGAGTGTTTCGCATAGGTGTGAAACACACAGCGGTGTTTCGCACAGGTGCGAAACACACAGGGGTGTTTCGCACAGATCAGTCTCCCAACGACACGTATTTCGATAAATTTATAGGATTTATTCGTTCCGGAGCCTCCCTAATTGCCTTGACCCTATCCTTAAACATGGAAAAACTGTTTTTTTTTGTAAGTGAAAAATTTTATTTCATCACCAAAATGAAGAATTATGTACATCAATGATACTGGAGCTCAGAGACAGAGCTTAGCTAAACAAAAACTCCTCAAGGAGTAAAAAGAACCACATCTTCATCCTATTACAAAACGAAAACCAAAACCTGCACATATTATGCACAGTATGTCTACACTGTTTGTGCACCTTCTTTGCCTCTACAATGGATACCGAATACGCACGAGAATGCCACGCTTGCCAAATACATGCGAATTATATGCATCAACCGCCAGAGCAGTTTCATACGTCAACCACTTCGTGGCCGTTCGAGACTTGGGATATGGACATAGTCGGTCCTATTTTTCCCCCTTCAGTCAAAGGTGATCGGTTCATCCTCGCGATCACAGATAGCTCTATTCTTCAACTTAAAAATCCTGTTATTCCTCTCTCTCCAAATGTTATATACTGCAGCAGCCAACATGAAAAAACTGTTATTAACTAAAGATACATTCTTATCCACAAACACGACATCCGAAGCCCTATAAATACCCCCCTCGTAATTTGTGAAAGAAGGGGAGAGGGGATTGACGCACTGACGGTTGACTGACGAACGTGCGAGAGAACCCACGTTTTCTAGAGCAAAGCCACGTTTTTACAACAAGAGAGGAGAGATCTTGGCGAATTCTTATGCATAAAGAGAAGATCTCGAGAGATCTATAGTTGTTTCATCCTCAAGATCATACTGTCATTTTGATCTTGAGAAGGGTATTTATGTCGTATAATTGAGATATTTACTTCTATTTTTGTTTCCATAAGGGAACAGGAATGATAAGCCTTATTCACGATCAATCGGATCTGATTTTTTTGGCGGTCCACGGATCAAAGCGTCCCTGGCACAGACAAAGATCTCACGCAAGCAACGATCGATAAACGATCATGCGTGTGTTTCTAGGAAGTCCTCATTTATTTGTGTAAGAAAAGTCTTATAAAAAGGCTTCTTCTTGTTGAATCTGTAATTGATAAACAATTGTAATGGATTTCGCAATGAAAAAGATTTCCGACGCAAACACTTGCCAAACATTAAGTCCCTCTAACTATTACACCAAAATTCTAAAGATATGATAAGTCTCGAGAATTATAGTTTAACATTCTAACATATCCAATACACTTCCAAATTGAATAGTAGAAAATTCATTTCTCAATACAAAATTAGGTGTACATTTGTTATCCCTAAAATTAAATAAGGGCAAAATCCATTCCTCACTCATTCTCTCTCATCTAAAGTACAGTCGATGTATCATAAAAATACAACGGAAAACAATTTTCTAGAACTTGATCTTCTTGAAGTTAAAAGGGATAATAATAATAATAATAATAGTAATACTAATAATAATAATAAACAATGCCTTTTTACAAGAAGGCCCACAAGTTGTAATAAACCAACTGAGATTTTTAAAAAATAAAATAAAATCACAGTATATAAAATGAGTAGATTTCAGAGAATAAAAATATGCTTTAATATTTCAATCTAAGATAAAACATTGAACGTGATCATTTTAATGCATAGTCTTCACTCTAAATACCCCATTTTATATAAAAATTACAATAAGAAGTTTTCAACATCTATTGCACATGCATCGTGCATTGATGCTCGTATAAATTGAGGTTTGTACGTTCTATAAATAGCAGGGTTTTGTTAGGTAAATGGCCCTTGATCGATCTTTTCATAAAAATCTCCAATCAAGCTAACCTTGGAGCTAATCAGAAACAATTACCATAAATATCAGGACACTGCAGATAGAACCAGAGAAATTTCCATAAACCACACGAGTTTCAAGAACTCTGAATACATTTCTCTCTCCACGGCAACTACAACAATCACTTAATTAATTATTAATTAATTAACTAGTTTTCGAAATTCTTAATTAGCACATATTGTTCCACATCCTGAGTTATGCTGCAGGGATAGGTAAGGGTAATGATGAATCACACGGAGCAAGTACCAACGAGCTTGTAATCTACGGGAGCTGCTATTTAACTTGCTTCTCTGTTTTCCAAGAAGCACGCAGGAAGTTTCTACTCAATTTCCAAAATCTCAGTAGTTCTGTTAACAAAAGGGGAATCAATTTACAACGCCCGTACCCCACTGCCCTTGATCTCCTTATCTCCGTTAACTGCTCGAACATTCACATATCTGTCCATCTTCTAAGCACCACCCTAAGCGCATAACGTTTTATGACATTGCCACATGTAACTCACTGTCAGGACATCACCAAACACTGAACTCCACTTCCACCCATCACAACATGACACCTGCTATAATGTAATGTGGGTCCCAATTTAAGCTTGTCATTCAAGTAAGGGGGTGTTTGGTTCACCTATTTTATGAAAAATATTTGAGAAAACACCTGACAATGACGTTATCGTAAATAATAAATTTCTATAGATTTTCATAAACTGTGTTTGGGTCAACATTGAATTTACAGAAAAGTTTTCTGTAAAGTACATAAATCTGTACAACTTTACATAAATTATTTTCCACTAAAAATGGGCAGAAAACACCAGAAAATCTGACGCATATATTAAAAATTTAATTAAGTACACCAGTACCGTTCCCATGTGATTTCTCATGTTAGTAAACTATTTTCTATAAAGTGATATCTAACCAAACAAAAGAAAAAGAAAACAACATATTTTCCATAAAGTTAGAAACTTTTTCATACTTTGAACCAAACAAAAAAATAGTAAAAAACAAGAAATATGGTACTCTTTAAGTTCTATAAATTTTTCCTACAAATTTTATAGAAATACAAAAAAATCTATATTTTGGACGTTTTCCTTTTCCTATAATTTATAAAAATTTAACCAAACACCCTCTCAGTGTGCGCTTATTCAATCACAATAGCCTGTTATGTAGATAAGTAGTTAGAGGTACATGTCACTACATCAGAAACGTCTGTATCACTAATTCAAAACTCTAAAATTATACTAATAATTAAATGTTACAATTTTATACTCTAAATAAGATCTAATTTTCAGATTAGTTGCTTTGAAGAAAAAATTATGAACAAGATACAAATAGCGAAGGAAATGATCAGTACTAGAGGCGCAGCATAGTATAGTCATTAGGATAAATAATAGATGATATATTGTGATTGAAGAACTACACTCATTTTGGAAACAAAGTCTCTTGACTACAATAATTAACTTGTCCTTCTGTTTGGTGTTCCATGCACATCAGCCGATCCTAATTCCTTTCCCTGACCAAAGACATGTCTTTAAAAACCCTTGGAAACCCTAGAACTTGATAAATCAAGACCATGGCTCTAGTGATATCAGACAACCTCAAGGCCTTCATCAATACAGCCTTCCTCCTCCTCCTCTGCTTCTTCTTCACATCCCACATAAGATCCCCTTCCCTCCCTTTCAACCAGCTCTCAACCCTAACCCTAAAATCACCAAAAGGAAATGCTTGCATTGGCCTCCAAAAGCTCCTTGACCCCCACCTAAAGTGCCTCTACCTCAAGACTCACTACCCCTGTGTCACCCAAGGCTACATCAACTACCTCCACCTCTTCTACTGCCTCTGTGGGGCCTACCCTTTCCTTGGCTACACTCTCCTCACCCTCTGGCTCCTAGTCTTGTTCTATCTCTTAGGCAACACTGCATCCCAATACTTTTGCTCCTCAGTTGAGAGCTTATCAAGGGAGCTAAGGCTCTCTCCAACTATAGCCGGTGTGACCCTTCTCTCCTTGGGCAACGGATCGCCCGATGTCTTCGCGAGTATCGTCTCATTTCGCTCAGGATCGGGTGAGGTAGGCCTCAGCAGTGTTCTCGGAGGCGCATTCTTCGTATCCTGCGTTGTTGTGGGTATAATCAATGTGTGTGGCGCGGCCAGCTCGCGCTTGCCCTGTCGCATCGACCGGACGAGCTTTGTCCGTGATGTTTGCTTCTTTGTGGTTGTTCTTTCTTCTCTCCTTGTGATTCTCCTCATTGGCAGGATCAACATCCTTGGAGCTATTGCCTTCACCTCATTATACTTTGTTTATGTTTCAATTGTCTCCGCGACACATTTCTTTCGTAATGACAAGTATGAAGATCTAGTCATTCCTATTCTTGATCACCTCGAGGATGTAACAACAATGACATCAAAAGAAGCTCAAGAATGCATTAATCAAGAAGAAGATGACTCGTCGAGCTTGTTGAGGTGCAGGTCCTTGTTTTCTTATTACATTAGATGGTTCTTGTACCTCATCGATTTGCCATTGTATCTGCCGAGGAGACTGACGATACCCGACGTTTCTGAAGAGAGATGGAGTAGGCCATTTGCGGTGGCTTCAGCTACGCTAGCACCGGTTCTTGTGGCGACCTTGTGGAATTCGAAGAGATTAGGGTTTGGAACAAAGGAAGGGATGACAATTTACTTGTCTTCAGCTCTTGTGGGGTTAGTTCTAGGGCTAGTTGCAGTCCAGACAACAAAGAAGGATTGCCCTCCAAAAAAGGGCTTGTTCCCTTGGCTAGCCGGTGGATTTCTAATGAGCGTGTTGTGGACATACATAATTGCTGAAGAGCTTGTAGGGCTCTTGGTCTCATTGGGGTACGTGTTTGGGATAAGCCCTTCAATTCTAGGGTTAACAGTTCTTGCATGGGGGAATTCTATCGGGGACTTAATTGCAAATGTCGCAATGGCAATGAGTGGAGGACAAGATGGGGCCCAGATTGCAATCTCCGGGTGCTATGCTGGGCCCATTTTCAATACGTTGGCAGGGCTGGGGCTTTCACTGGTGGTCTCAGCTTGGGGGGTCCACCCTAAGCCCTTCGTGATCCCTGTTGGCCCTCCGTTGTTTGAGATTCTAGGGTTTATGATAGGAGGCTTGCTCTGGGCTCTTGTGATATTGCCAAGGAAGGATATGAAGCTTGATAGGGTTTTAGGGATTGGGTTGTTGGCTATTTACTTGTGTTTTTTGTCTTTGAGGCTGTCTCAAAGCCTAGGGTTTGTGCAGGGCTGAAGAATTTTTCTTCCTTCCCCCCTAATTAACTGGCTGTTTGTCGTAGGAGCTAGATTTGAGCTGGCAACTGTTGCGGAGAGTGTTTTCTTCTATAAGATCAATATTGTTATCATACGTATGTTGTTTTGATGTAGACAAATAATAGCACATACGTAAGCTCCCAAGTATAAAAAAAACATTGCATGATATATAGAAGGGAAAATCCTCTTTTAACCCAAAGTTTTACCCCAACTTATTTAAAAACCCACTCACTTTTCAAAACATCAATAAACCCATTATATCCCATCCCACTTATTTTTAAACCCAAATGTACAATACACCCATTATTTGTATTGTATTTATCCAATAACTTGAAAAAATCCTAAACTACCCTTCTTCCCCAAACTGATCTCTCCCTCTCTCCTCCTCCTCCAACTGAGCCCAGAGCTCTCTTCTTCCTTCCTATTCTCCCTCAACCACTACCACCAACCTCCTCCTCTCCCCTCCCTTCACTTCCCCTCCTCCCTCAAGCCCATCAACCTCTGTATCCATCGCCCCCTATCTCCCCTCGCCGCCACGTCACCCACCACCGTCGACCTTGAAGCAGATGAACATCCCACCAATAATTTCGACATTGACTCCCTGTAGTACGTCGACGTGGCGGCAGATAAGGACCCGAAGCATTTGTCGTTGCCGCCAGTGGACGGAGCTTGAGGAGCATCCGAAGTAATGGCGGAGGTCGAAGACCGCCTGGCTTTGTAAGGAGCTACCTTCGCATAAGCCGACGACGATGGTGAGGATCCTTGGCGCTCAAAGGAAGTGAGTTCGACAGAATGAGGTGGGTTATGTTATTCTCCATTGCAAGTCAGGTTAGTTCAACTCTTTGCCCACCACCTGTTCGTTGAATTTACGCTTAGTCTTCTCTCTTATCAATATTTGATTTTGATGATTGTTGGTTACTCAAATTCTAATTTATTGTTCTGTCATTCTAAAATCTCATGAACCTGCAACTTGCAGCCTGTCCGTGATTACTTCAAAAATAATGCTGATGCCAAAAAGCTATTGGAAAAAGTGAAGGTAACATTTACTTGATGCTCAATTGCTCATAAGATATGTACATTCATGAGATATCGACCATGACTTACATAACTGTGGTTCCTCTCTGGACATTATATTTTAAAATTAGAACTATAGTTCTTGCTTGCATTTATGAATACAATTTTCGTTGGAGTTGATGATTGATGTGAAAATCCTCCCTCTTTTTGCAAGCATACAGAGTTACTAGGTGATTATTCTTACTTGTTGGTGTTGGGAATGGTGACGAGTTGCAACATAAAAATTCTAATTTTCTTATTGCTTGGTGGTCCTTCAGATTCTTATTGTTCTTGTGGGTTTTGATAATTCGAAGCATTACGACATCAAAATCGATATTACTTTCATGTATTTTGATTTGGAAATGCACGATAAGTTAGAATTGATATTGCATAAAAGCTTATAGATGATTCCTTTGAAAGTGGTATGAAGCCTCTTATGCTAGCATTTCTCGATATTACTTTCATGTATTTTGCTTTGGAAATACACGATAAGTTAGAATTGACAGTTAATAAAATTTTCTTATCATGCAATCATTGATTGTGACATTTATTTGTGCAGGAGCGTAGATTGTAACATTTTTATGGTGGGATACATATATTCCATCATCAATGGCACACCTTCATTCATTCATCAGAATATGAACTTCTAGGAGGAAAGATCGCGATTGCATTTGTCTCGGAGAAATCAAAAAAATCTACTAGAAAATATTGTAATTATTGTGCATGTTGTAATCATGAATACATTGGTTTCGGAACCGAATGTGGATTGAGTATGAAACATGTTTCTTTATTGAGGAATAATTAGAAATTGAATAGCCTAGATATATAGCCTTAAAGTAGTAAACTCCGAAGCGCCTCATCTAGAAGTGTAAACATGTCAGCAGTTGCTCATTGCTTGCTTCGGATATTTGATACGATAATGTTATAAGGGCCACCAGTGGTTATATGTCTATGAAATGTTGTAATCAGTTATTTTTTTGAAGCATGTTATAAGGGCCACCAGTGGTTATATGTCTATGAAATGTGTTTCAGATCTTGTATTTTGTATCAAATGTGTATATTCATAGCTCATGGTATTGTTCTATTCCAAAACTAGTGATATTGGATAATTTTGCGATATTTGGTTGATGCGCAACATTTATATATGTCTCATGTGTATGAGGTTCAGTTTTTTCAGAGGTCATGTTTTATGTATAAGAGTTGATGTTGTTACATAGAAAAAGAGATATATTATATTCGCCTACGTCATGTGTTGCGTGACCAATTATCCACCTCGACGAGGGGTCCTCATGCAATTTTGAAGCTTTATGGGAAAGTATAGCACCTTATGGCCAAAGTATAGCACTATACGACAAAGTATAGCACTTTATTGACAAAATATAACACCTTATTGGAAAAGTATAGCACCTTATACTTTCTGAAAATTCTGCACCTTAAGTGTCTAAAAGCAAATCAGTTTTTTTTGCCGCGACGAAACCACTCGACGACCTACGTCACGTGTTTATTGACCTATCATCCACCGCGACGGGGGTCCTCGCGCAATTTTGAAGCTTCTGGGCAAAGTATAGCACCTTATGGTAAAGTATAGCACCTTTTGGCCAAAGTATAGCACTATATTGCAAAGTATAGCACTTTATTAACAAAGTATAGCACCTTATTAGCAAAGTATAGTACCTTATACTTTCTGGAATTCTGAAGCTCAAGTGCCTAAAATCAAATCAGTTTTTTTTGCCGCGACGAAACCACTCGGCGACCTACGTCACGTATTATTGACCAATCATCCACCGTGACGGGGGGTCCTCGTGCAATTTTGAAGCTTCTGGGCAAAGTATAGCACCTTATGGGAAAGTATAGCACCTTTTGGCCAAAGTATAGCACTATATTGTAAAGTATAGCACTTTATGAGCAAAGTATGGAAATTCTGCACCTTAAGTGTCTAAAATCAAATCAGTTTTTTTCGCCGTGACGAAACCACTCGACGACCTACGTCACGTGTTATTTGACCAATCATCCACCGCGACGGGGGTCCTCGCGCAATTTTGAAGCTTCTGGGCAAAGTATAGCACCTTTTGGGAAATTATAGCACCTTTTGGCCAAGTATAGCACTATATTGAAAAGTATAGCACTTTATTAACAAAGTATAGCACCTTATTAACAAAGTATAGCACCTTATACTTTCTGGAATTCTGAAGCTCAAGTGCCTAAAATCACATCAGTTTTTTTTGCCGCGACGAAACCACTCGACGACCTACGTCACGTGTTTATTGACCTATCATCCACCGCGACGGGGGTCCTCGCGCAATTTTGAAGCTTCTGGGCAAAGTATAGCACCTTATGGGAAAGTATAGCACCTTTTGGCCAAAGTATAGCACCTTATGCTTGCTGGAAATTCTGCAGCTTAAGAGCCTAAAATCAAATCAGTTTTTTTCGCCGTGACGAAACCACTCGACCACCTACGTCACGTGTTATTGACCAATCATCCACCGCGACGGGGGGTCCTCGCGCAATTTTGAAGCTTCTGGGCAAAGTAAAGCACCTTATGGGAAAGTATAGCACCTTTTGGCCAAAGTATAGCACTATATTATAAAGTATAGCACTTTATATTGACCAATCATCCACCGCGACGGGGGGTCCTCGCGCAATTTTGAAGCTTCTGGGCAAAGTATAGCACCTTATGGGAAAATATAGCACCTTTTGGCCAAAGTATAGCACTATATTGTAAAGTATAGCACTTTATGAGCAAAGTATAGCACCTTATTGGAAAAGTATAGCACCTTATACTTTCTGGAATTTTGAACCTTAAGTGCCTTAAATCAAATCAGTTTTTTTTGCCGCGACGAAACCACTCGACGACATACGTCACGTGTTATTGACCAATCATCCACCGCGACGGGGGGTCCTCGCGCAATTTTGAAGCTTCTGGGCAAAGTATAGCACCTTATGGGAAATTATAGCACCTTTTGGCCAAAGTATAGCACTATATTGCAAAGTATAGCACTTTATTAACAAAGTATAGCACCTTATTAGCAAAGTATAGCACCTTATACTTTCTGGAATTCTGAAGCTCAAGTGCCTAAAATCACATCAGTTTTTTTCGCCGTGATGAAACCACTCGACGACCTACGTCACGTGTTATTGACCAATCATCCACCGCGACGGGGGGTCCTCGCGCAATTTTGAAGCTTCTGGGCAAAGTATAGCACCTTATGGGAAATTATAGCACCTTTTGGCCAAAGTATAGCACTATATTGCAAAGTATAGCACTTTATTAACAAAGTATAGCACCTTATTAGCAAAGTATAGCACCTTATACTTTCTGGAATTCTGAAGCTCAAGTGCCTAAAATCACATCAGTTTTTTTCGCCGTGATGAAACCACTCGACGACCTACGTCACGTGTTATTGACCAATCATCCACCGCGACGGGGGGTTCTCGTGCAATTTTAAAGCTTCTGGGCAAAGTATAGCACCTTATGGGAAAGTATAGCACCTTTTGGCCAAAGTATAGCACTATATTGCAAAGTATAGCACTTTATTAACAAAGTATAGCACCTTATTAGCAAAGTATAGCACCTTATACTTTCTGGAATTCTGAAGCTCAAGTGCCTAAAATCAAATCAGTTTTTTTCGCCGCGACGAAAACACTTGACGACCTACGTCACGTGTTATTGACCAATCATCCACCGCGACGGAGGGTCCTCGCGCAATTTTGAAGCTTCTGGGCAAAGTATAGCACCTTATGGGAAAGTATAGCACCTTTTGGCCAAAGTATAGCACTATATTGCAAAGTATAGCACTTTATGGGCAAAGTATAGCACCTTATTGGAAAAGTATAGCACCTTATACTTTCTGGAATAAGGTGCTATACTTTTCCAATAAGGTGCTATACTTTACCAATAAAGTGCTATACTTTATAATATAGTGCTATACTTTGGTCAAAAGGTGCTATACTTTCCCATAAGGTGCTATACTT